TAAAGTTGACACTTTGTTAATTCTTAAAATTTTAATTGTGTACTTTTATTCTCACTTTTTTTAACAAAAATTTATTTAAAATATGCCTAACTCACCAAGAGTTTAACAATTTACCCTTTTCTACTATTTCAACTCATGGTTATGTGTATTTTGATAGGTGTTTTGAAATTATACCAAAATTTATAGATAAAATATTAAATAATTGAGTTTTTATGTATATTTTAATAAATTTCTCTTCTCCCATTTAAAAATAAGAGGTATGAAAAAAACTATCCCACGGTCTTATTAAATATGGTTTACTAAATTCTTAAATATCTATCAATTACCTTGATTTTCTTATTTTTATAAAGTGAGGGAATTTGATATTTCTTTTTTCAATTGTAAATTTTATTATATATTAAGAGTAATGTTCATCTGTTTATGTATGGTAATTATTCGTGTACGCTTTTTTTAATGTGTAGGTCTTGGCGTATTATATTCGGATCAAAGTGGCGGTGCAGGACCAAATTGAACATTTGGTCCAACATGCAAGACTCCTAGTTAGATTGAGTTTTATGACAATGAGATTTTCAAATCATTTTTCATTGACCTGGTGATCAATTTAGAGAATGAATTGTTTTGATCTCTTAAAACTCAAGATTTGATCATCTATTAAATGGTCAATTTTACTTAGGGAATTGTTTAAAGCATTTTTCGAGATTTAAATCATTTTCTTATAAATGTGAAAATCAATAGAGATGATTTAAGCATCTAGATCAATCAAATCCCCCTACACTGAATAACGTGGTTGTTCAATCTTGGTAGTAATGGACAAACTCTTTATTAGATGGTTGAGCACTTGTGGGATTTTCCACATGCCTGGTGTGGGTAGTTTTGAAAAAATATGGGCTAGTGTAAGGTGTGGTATCGACCTAATTTATGAAAAAATAAGTGACTCATTTGTTCATAAAGACTTTAAAACCTGTCCGTACATAAATTTTCTATAAAATAAAAATAAAATTTCAGGATTTTCCTGTTAAAAAGACCTAAATATTTTTGTTTTATTAAAAAAAAGTTTGTATTGGTTAAAAATATAATAGCTGAAACATTGTTTATAATATGATTGGTCGTGCCTTTGCATTGGACAAGCAATGCGCTGCTCATTCTTCATGAACTTATTCCGAAAGAGGATCGCCTTTGGAATTTTGCCAATATCGGTTCTTATTATTTTCACATGTTGGCATCACGGGACCAAGTTGGACATTTGGTCCAGCATGTGAACTTTCTCGGAATTTAATTTTTTGTTGGGTGGGGGTAATAATCACACTTTACTTTGTGACGCATCCAAGCTATCAAATTTTATATCGGATGGTTTCAAACAATTATGACCACCTTATATCAAAAAGGAAATGGTCTCCCGTCATCACACAAGCTTCATAAATACATGAAGTTTGATGAATTGGTGAAATTCTATTCAGAAATTTAGTTCAATATTATGTGTTCTTCCATGTTATAATAAAGCTTGGAGAATCTGGTGAAATTATATTTAGAAATGTAGTTCAATGTTATGGGTTCTCCCATGTCATGAAGAAGACGTCTCATTTAGCATGGGAGAAGCAAGAGTTAAATATGAACTATCTCAATCTACTCCAATTGTTTATCATTCCAATTCCACTTATATAGGCCTTATATTTATGCAAGAATATTAAGGTTCTTTTTTATTGAGCTAGAAGAGGAAGAATTAGGAATCTCCGACTCATCCCTTTT